GATTTAAAGTGCTGAGAAGTTAATATGCTTCTCTGCTTCGGGCCAACACTATGAAATTGGTGTGCTATATCCACTAGTTTAGCTTTACACCAGCTTTGATTATTTGAAGACGTAGGGGTTAGAGTACTCAGTTGATCATATAGATTTTCAAACTGGGCATTTATTTCCAATTCAGACATTTGCGTTATAGGGACGGAGAAATTAAAACCAAGAGAAAGGGCTTCCTTCTCATTAGCAGATAATACAATGGAGGATAAATTAGTGACATACTTTTCAGGATTTACTGGGAATAAATTAACTTGATTAGTAATAATACAAGATTTTTCGAGCTTATTACTAATCCTTTCCTTTGTTTTCGAAATGACATTACTGCAAAAGTTGGTGAATTTAATATGGCAGACTATAGATATTTCATTTAATATAGGCAATGCTTGAGTGTGTAATTCAATTAAATTGATCAATGAAAAAAGTGAAATCCAGTAGAAGATTTGACATAGCTTCATATCACAACCTGGTTATTTTCAAGATGAAACTGAGGCTAGGTAAGCGCTGCACAACTAGCGAAAGAGCATTACTAAGGTTCAATACCGCCTTCCTTTGAAGCACTAACAAGCTCAGCCAATTCAAATAACTCTTAACAACAGGTTCGAAGCCTTACAAGATCAGCTCAAAGAAAAGGAAATTATTGTGGTGAGCGACTGGAAAGGGATTGGGGAAGCACTGTCTTGAACGTGTTAGGAGGTTTTTGGTCTCGAAAATCATCATCATAAAGAATGGATCTCTATCAAAATCTTAGGCTGGATTAAGGAAAGGAAGAACGAGAAGAGAACAACTAACAACAGCCAAAAAAGAACAGAAAAGTTGAAGGCACAAGCTGAATACACAGAAGCAATCAAGCAAATGAAGATTGGCATTATAGCCGTCAAGCCGAAATGTGTAGAAGAGCTAGCAACGACGGCGGAAAAGGATGCAACAAAAATCCTGCTTGAATATCTGAGCTACCTAATCCCGCAATCCTGATATTTCAACAAGTAATCTGTTTTCATGTTTGGTTTAACAGATCATTGTGAAGTGTTTACGACATTCTCTGTACAAATTACAAAAATTACAATCGGAGACATGGTGATGGCTGCTATTGTGCATTGAAAAGAATGAATATTATTCAGATGTCGACTTCTCAAGTGCTAATATTTAACTAGCGATCACTCAGTGTTTACCACAATGATCGATCAAGAACTAATAAACGGAAAATCGCTGAAATACTTTATGCTAAGAGTTCTATACTGCATAAAAGACACAATATTGAGCAATGTTAATAATAATGAGAGAAATAACTATATGACACGACGAAGAAACTGGAAGGGAAATAAAGTAAACCAGCGAGAACGATCAAGGACAGAGAACGTAAGACAATCACTCAAATTCAAGAACAGAGGAATGGGTGGGTAGAACGCTTTGAAGAACCCTTGAATAAATCAGCTTCACTGAACCTAACGGACATCGAAGCAGCACACACACAAACATCTCTATAAATATCACCCCACCAACTATCGAAAAATTTATTATGGTCATCAAACAGCTCAGTATTGGAAAAGCAGCAGCATCAGATAGTATACCAGCTAAAGCACTCGAGTCATATACACTGGTTACTGCAAACATATTCCACATTGTCTTCAGAAAAATACGGAAGAAAATACAAGCAATCACAAACTGGAAAGAAGGACCTGTCATCAAGGTACCAAGGAAAGGAGGTTCGGGTAAGTGTGAGAACTACAGAGGGATCACCCTACTGATGGTACCAGGAATCGTTGTCAACAGAATGTTGTTGATTCTAATGGAAGATTCAGTAGACGCACGAATCAGAGACCATGTGGTGTTCGTATGAACTTTTTGTGCCTCTGGTAACCCTCGTGCTATTGATAGAAGAAACCAGACAAATAGTGAATAGGTCTTTATTTAGATCTTCGCTCAGTCACAGTGGAGCGTGGGATTATTTGTTCAGACAAACAAAGCCTCTTAACATTAAATACAAGGTAATAGAAAATATAACGCCTATACAAAATAAGGAAGTAAATGAATACTTGAACAATACTGTTTGGTATGTGCTTGGTTGTTTGGGGTCAACTCTTAACCAACCAACGTAAGCTGTAACAAACTAATGATTCTTTAGCACTTGATTTCCGCCTGATTTCGAATCCCAAATACATTAAGTTCTTGTGTGCTCACCCAGTTCAATTGGGTTTAAATTGCGTTATTTCGGGGAGTCCCAGTCCGTACAGTAATTTAACTACTTCTAAATACCACTGACCAACATGCTGAACTTTGTCAGAATCGATCATGATCTGGTCGATCTACGACACTGTTGATCATTGTGGAACAATCGACTGAATGGAACTCATTACTATGAATCAAATTCCTTGACTATGAGAAAGCACTCGATAGTATGGACAAGTGGATCTTATAAAATCTTCCTTGACATTGTGGCGTATCCGAAGCTATTCTCACCACCATAGGAAACGCCAAAGATTGACTGAATTACAAAGATATGCATAGAGAACAGTTCATAGATGCATTGCAATTTGGGAGTGTTGTCGGGCAAGGCTGCTTATTCTTGCTTTTTCTCCTTCTGACTATTGTTAAATGATGTATGAAGATCTCCACATCTCTGGAGCTGCGCAGCGAACAGTGGACATTCAGGAAAAAACTGGATGATTTGACCTGTCCAGACCATATAGCCCTTCGATCCTGTACACTGTATGATTTGCAGGTGAAAGCAAACAACGTAACAGCAACCTCCATCGGAGTGTGCCTCAACATACACAAGGGGAAGATCAAAGTTCTGAAATGAAACACAGGAAATACTAACTAAACCACACTTGATCGATTAGCTTTGGAAGGAATGGAAGCCTTAACCTAGCGGAGCAGCATCATTGGTAAGCAAGGAGGAACTGAACCAAATATGGAAATAAATTTCAACTAAACAAGGGCGAAATTCTCACAGTTGAAAAACATCTAGAACTTGGAAGACACTGCTGGATAACACCAAAGTTAGAATTTTTAATATAAATGGTATGAGTGTTCTTATGTGAGGAGTAGAAACATAGAGAACTACCTTATATGTCATAAAAATGTATTGTATTTATAGACAGTTATCTAATCAAGTTACTCCAGATCCATTGGGGAGATACCATCAGCATTAACCTACTGTGTCACATAACTTAATCTGTTGCCCTGAGAACACTTCGATAGAAAAGACCTGGGCACAGTAATGGTCAAATCTTGCCGTATCTTATTTATTTTCGAAGTTTACTTCCATTAGCAACATCAAAGATATCTCCAGAACTCCAATCACTTAGATTTACACTATTATGTAACAGTTAGCGGTCTATGTCTATTCAGAGTCGAATGGAGAGTATGACCATATGCATATCAGACTGTTACGTTACTATTATGGCAGGCCTAACTTCATGTGGTTGACTGTTTAAAATATGACCGTTCAATCTATCCGATCTTACGTCAAACTCTGACTTAGTTCACCTTATCATGGCAGTAAGGGTCCTACATTTCAAGAACTTTTCAGGAACCAGTACCGTCTGACGGAAGAATAATATTTTGAATATGACGACGAAAGAGGCAAATGAGAAAACCATGTCTGCATGGATAAGTTATTCACTCTCGACTATATTCCCTCGTCAGTGTTTATTTAACGTGGCTAATCGGAATCTCACATTCAAAGTTTAGTGATGATCTCTTATCTTCGTACAAATTCAGCTTGAAGGATCACGTAGTTAATAATTAGTTTTTTCCTACCATCACTAAATTAAAACGTTACTTTCAGCCAATACTCAATCAGAATCTCATACTCGTTCAAACAGACACACAACTGCCATGCACTTCAAACAGTGTCATCCAATTTCTACAATAGGAAAATTCTATTTTAAAACGTATCTAGACAGGGCATGAATGTCAGAAAACTTGTTGGAATATGTGTTGAAATGAAGTAATTTTTAAAACCGGACTGTCAACGTTGTATCGTAAACTCCTGATGATGAGAAACCACGAAATACAATGAATTCATATTATTCTGCATCAATGCTCCTTCTGGTTTTATTTAAATACTCTAAAATTTTCCTGTAGCAGTCTGCAATAGCATAAATTTGGAGTCTGATTCCTCCTCATCAGGCGTGAATAATATGGGACGGTCTTCGGAAATACGCACGGCAGATGGGTTTATAAGACTTCTTGATGAAGCCCTCGTTCGTACTGATCTAGAACGCGTGAACACATCTGCGCCCTACTCAGATATATATTTGTTCTACAGAGGTACTGTGCAATTTCAATGTCAATTATTACGACACAATGAGTCAGTGTAGATAATGATGTGATCCTCACGTAAGATCATATAGATTAGGCAGGCACATCATGATAAGTCTACAATTTTAGGATTAAGTCTATTATTACAGCAGTACAGACAACAAACTAGACCACAATTCTACAGAGTTACTGATCAACAAACATTTATGATGAAAGCGATGACTTCAGTTCTCTCGTATTTGTGGGGTAGAACATTTTGTTTGTTTCTGTCTTGTGATTACGGACGAGACAATGGGTCAGAGATACTGGGGCTGTTCTCCTACACTAGCTAGTAAAACTCACGTTTCTAAGTTTATGTTGAATTTGACATTCTACTGAGATAAAATTCGACTTTTACATTATGACGTAGTGGCTAGCATCAGATAGAAAGAGAAATTAAAAGAGCAGACAATAAAAGATATAGTGTAAGATCCATTTTGAATGCCTTGTGTGTTTGTGAAAATCCCTCCATGTATATACTTGCACTTTGTTCCTATTGATCTTCTTAGTTGTACATTGTTAACTTTTGGACTACATTTGAATTGTTAATCTTTGTATTTTATTATAGTTTTTGTTTTTACCACACCTTCACTAATTCCCCATGTTTCTTCCCAAACTGCACTTATGTTGTTTTACTTTATACTAAGTCTGAGCGGCAGCCATTTTGGTTGGTTCCTGCCTTTGATTGCTTTACCTGTGTTGACTGGAATTGTGCATTTTGGTTGTGAATTGAAGCACTCTTCCAGAATTGAAAACACTCTGTGTTATAGAGCGACCAATTATTACCTTTTGAACGAATCTGTACGTGATCTATCCAGACAGGATAGAATAACATTTATTTGTGGTGATTGGTAATTTTCTTGCATTCTTTATCAACTTTCTTATTTATTGTAGTTTAGATTTGATCAATTAAACAATTATTGGTTGGATAGCTGTGTGGTTATATTTGTTTAGGTAATAATGTATACTTAAATTTATGATAAATTATAGAACCGCTATCTTACCCAATTACCTTGTTTTGGTTTCAAACGGGCGAGGGCGCGTATCGAACTTATCCAGGCAGCTGTCCAGCAGTCCAAACGTGGTTTGGATCCTACAAATATTAATTGGTCAAAGGCGTTTGGCAATCGTTTCGTGGATTTTGGTTATCCTTCTTGAAAATATTTGGTCGTTTCCTACAGTTCTAAACAAATATTACTTGGCCGAAATCCTTTGGTAATCGTTCACGGATTTTCTGGAAATAATTGGTCGTGTCGCTTATAATGCCAGTTAATCGTCGTCGGAGATCAGGCTCAAAGTTCGTCGATGTTAACGAAGAATCCCCTATTGTCAAGCAAGTACCTTTTGATGTCCTTAAGGGTCATGGTTCAGACTTAAATAGGGTTAATTATCATGGCAGTGATTCTAGCCTTAATTCGATGTCAGATGATTAAAAAATCTTAGTTTAAAGGAGGAGCAAAGGCCTGAATTACTAGGAAAGAGCATGTCGCCTATAGTTCATGTTGTTGGCCCAGAGCTACCAAAGGTTGAACTGAGTTATTTCGATGGAGAGCCAAGAGGTTATTGGAAATTTATAAGGCAATTTGAGACGTATGTAGCGTCAAGAGTCACGGATGATAGCCAGCGCTTACTCTATTTGATACACTACTGTAAGGGCAAGGCTAAAGCAGCTATTGAAGGTTGCGTCATGATGGAGGCATCCTCTGGCTATAAAAGAGCAAGGGAGATTTTAAAACGTTTTTTCGGACAGCCTCACGTAATTGCTCGAGAAACACTAGAGGACTTATTCAGTGCTGCGAATTTTGAGTATATTGACGGGGACCAACTATCAAATTTGGCTATTAAGATGGAAAACTGTGCCATGGTCTTGGAGCAGATGAATTATACTTCTGATCTAAATTCCTTAGTTACCTTGGAAAGAATAGTGAGACTCTTGCCGCAACCTTTGCAAGCCCAGTGGGCGGACTGGGTGGATAAATTGACTGAAGATAACAGGGAACCGACCTTCGACGAGCTCACTCAGTTTATCGCATCGCGTGCGAGAGTGGCTTGTAGTAGATTTGGACGGTTAGCAAACCGTTCAAGAAAAGGACATAACGTAAAGACGAACTGTCACGTGCAATCAGAGCAAGGGAATAGTTCGACAACGAAAACTAAATGCAGTATGTGTTCCTACGACCATGCTATTGATAAATGTCCACAGTTCTTAGCGCTTACAGTTCAAGACCGATGGTCTCACGCTAAAAGCAAGGGTATATGTTTTGTTTGTCTTAGACAAGGACATAAGGTTAATGAATGTAAGATGACAAGGCTCTGTAACGTTGACAGTTGTAAGAAGAGACATCACGTTCTGCTGCACACTGACTCGACAAGCAACGTCGTAAATGATAAGCCATCATGCTCGGAATATAGGAAAAGAGTTGTTAATCATATCAGTAAGGTACAGACACTGGAGAACGAAATACGTAAGCTTTATGATGAGTTTTCAGATGCTTATTCAAGTGATAAATCATTATCAGTAGACGACAAGGGGGCTATAAAGATTGTGGAAGGGGGCACGCACTTCGGCGACGGTCATTTTGTAGTTTCTATACCGTGGAAAAAGAATCCAAATATGAAAGTGGATAATTATGAAGTAGCAAACCGTAGATTACAAAGTTTGAAAGGTATGTTGTCGAAGGACGTCAGCCTGAACATCAGGTACATCAAAAGTATTGAAAGTAATTTTACTAAGACTTATGCGGAGAGGGTCCTTGAAATATATTTGCAGCCTAATTATCGCCCTCGAGGGTATTTACCTCATCATGCAGTGTTAAACATGAAAAAACCAGAGGAACTTAGAGTGGTCCTTGATTGTGCCGCCGAGTTTGCAGGGTTTTCCACAAATGATATGATTTATCAAGAACCCGATACCACTGATGAGTTAATGTGTATATTATTAAGTTTTCGCAAGGAGGCAGTTACAATCCCTGCAGATGTTGAAGAAATGTTCATGCAATTGGTCTCTGAGTCTGATCGAGGAGCTTCAAGATTTCTGTGGTGGCAGGAGGGAGACATGTCGAGGGAACCATCTGAGTTTCAAATGACATCTCATCCATTTAGTGCCATATCATCGCCGTTTCGTGCGAACTTTACCTTGAATAAGACGGCTCAAATATTCTCTGACGGTTATGATGGTTATGTTGTAGATGCTGTCAAGAATAATTTCTATGTTGATGATTGCTTGATATCCATTCCCAATTGTGATCAAGCAAAGAGTTTCGTTAAGCATATAAGTGAATTATTATGTAGAGGAAGTATGCAAAAAATGATCGATCTTGAATATTGGTTCAAATGTCCTACTTTATTGCATGGCGAATTTTATATAACAATCACTGACTGTCCGGAACCTACTCCTGACGATATTGAGTTTAGAAAAATTGCTGTGGTTAACTTGAGTAGTATAAAGCAAAACATGTCACCTATTCTCTCTTATAAATCCGAGTGGTTGAAATTAGTCGGGGCCGTAGCCTGGCTTAGAAGGTTCATAGAATTTCTGATGGTGCTTCGTTCACCGAGTCATGAAGGATCCGTTCATCTAGGATGTTTAAAGGTCAAGGAGCCTGACATCGCCAAGGGTAAGAATTTATTGATGGTTCAAAAGGAAGTGTGTGGAGAATTATTTAGTGAATTTAGAAACAGAAGTAAAGTAGTAAGTCATAATGATCTGAAAGGTTTATCACCGATAATGCTTGATGGGTTACTCTGTGTTACAGGTCGTCTAAGCTACTCAGAATTATTAAATGCTTTTGAACGTCCAGTAATTTTACCCAGTCGACACTTAGTGACGGAAACGATAATTAGACATTGTCATAAAGAACCAGGACACATAGGAAGGTCATTAGAAAAAGGATATAGATATGTGTTTACTTGTTTGCAAACATGGGCAATACATATTGAACTGATGTATAGTTTGATTACTGGTTCATTTATAATGGCCTTATTACGTTTTATTGGAAGAAGAAGGAAACCTCCGGAGATTTACAGTGATAGTGCGTCAAGCTTCATGGGAGCAGATTCTGAATTAAGGAGGTTTGTGCAACAGTCGAATCAGCAGAAGATAAATATTGAATTGTCAGCGAGGTCCTCATCCAACAGCATGGGTGTAATTTGGGGAAGAGTGATTAGGTCTATACCAAGACTGTTATTGTTGATCACGAGAGAACAGGTGAAGCAGGTCTCCTTGAAGCTTTGGATTAGTCTTTGTTGTTATTGATGTAGTTAGGTCGAGTAGGCGTACTGTTGTAAGTCCTACTCGTTCCTATGGTGTGATATGTTATATAATGAACCATGACCGTAGGCATCAAGGTAGCTTGTGTGATATGGAGGGATTTTGGGGGCCGGTGTAAGATCCATTTTGAATGCCTTGTGTGTTTGTGAAAATCCCTCCATGTATATACTTGCACTTTGTTCCTATTGATCTTCTTAGTTGTACATTGTTAACTTTTGGACTACATTTGAATTGTTAATCTTTGTATTTTATTATAGTTTTTGTTTTTACCACACCTTCACTAATTCCCCATGTTTCTTCCCGAACTGCACTTATGTTGTTTTACTTTATACTAAGTCTGAGCGGCAGCCATTTTGGTTGGTTCCTGCTTTGATTGCTTGACCTGTGTTGACTGGAATTGTGCATTTTGGTTGTGAATTGAAGCACTCTTCCAGAATTGAAAACACTCTGTGTTATAGAGCGACCAATTATTACCTTTTGAACGAATCTGTACGTGATCTATCCAGACAGGATAGAATAACATTTATTTGTGGTGATTGGTAATTTTCTTGCATTCTTTATCAACTTTCTTATTTATTGTAGTTTAGATTTGATCAATTAAACAATTATTGGTTGGATAGCTGTGTGGTTATATTTGTTTAGGTAATAATGTATACTTAAATTTATGATAAATTATAGAACCGCTATCTTACCCAATTACCTTGTTTTGGTTTCAAACGGGCGAGGGCGCGTATCGAACTTATCCAGGCAGCTGTCCAGCAGTCCAAACGTGGTTTGGATCCTACAAATATTAATTGGTCAAAGGCGTTTGGCAATCGTTTCGTGGATTTTGGTTATCCTTCTTGAAAATATTTGGTCGTTTCCTACAATAGTTATTAGCGTTTCTTAACACTTTGCTCTCTTTTCAAGCACAATCTATTCTAGTGAACAACCTCCCTTATTGACATCGATTTCCATCGTTTGACCATATTCCACCGTGTTGCATATCCTAACTCACTGATTTTTTTTTACCGTATTCTCTCATCCGAAAGCATTAATCACAATTCACTCTAACAACAGCGGATAATATACTTTTGATCTACTAATTTACCATACATCGATCTGTTCGACTACAAAATTTCGGGAATTAATAAGAGATTATATCCAAATGTCTTTCTCCCCCTTTCGTTTCTTTCTTTCAAAATCATGCGCTTAATGCACGCTGTAGAGCTTCTTCAGCTTGAAACAAACTTAACGTACGCACATTCAAGGTCACAGCGTTAATTAGCTGTCTTTTATTTCTATTTAGTTTATCTATTTCACAACCCTATTTGGGAAGCATTTTCTATGTAAACTAATGTCAATTATAGACCATGACAGTAAATTGGTGTCTACCTTCTCTGGCAGAAGTATATTATTATTAGTGAGACAAATGTTGTAGGGAATTACATACTAGCTGTTTCACTGAAACTTCAAGATGCCACTTATTGAGCTGGCTGTGGGAATATGATAGTGATTTATACTTGCCGTATCCTGTTTGCTTTCAGACATTCTTAATTGTCAAGAAGTGCATATGGAAACTCTAGCTACATAGTAGAGATACAGGAATTCTCATAGTGGGTCATATTGGAGTGAACATACGAAATCATCTTTTTGCTGAATTTTGATACGTTCATTTGTAGAATTTTGGTCTAATATGATATTAGTACTGCTCTAATAATAGACCCTGATCCTAAAATTGTAGATTTGTCATGATATAACTGCCTAATCTATAAGATCTTACGTGAAAGTCACACCGCCGAGTACACCAACTCACTGTATCGTAATAATTACCAATACATGACGGAGAACAAGCTTAGGCTAGAGAAAGAACAATATATTTAATATGAATAAATGACATAAGAGGACAGCTGACAGATGCATTCCAAGTAAGGACTGGAGTCAGACAAGGCTGTCTACTCTCTCCCTTCCTCTTTCTTCTGGTGGTCGACTGGATTATGAGGACCTCGACATCTGAGGGAAAACATGGCATACAATCGACAGTTCAGAATCAATTGGACGATTTGGACTTCGCATATGACCTATCCCTCTCATCGCATACACATGAATATATACAGATAAAGACAGCCAGTGTAGCAGCAGTCTCTGCATCAGTAGGCCTCAACAAACACAAGGCGAAAACCAAGGTCCTCAAATTCAAAGCGGAGAACAGCAATCCAGTCACTCTTGATGGCGAAACTCTGGAAGATGTAGAATCCTTCACATACCTGGAAAGCATAATCGATGAACAAGGAGGTTCAGATGCAGACGTGAAGGTGAGGATTGGCAAAGCAAGGACAGCATTCCTACAGTTGAAGAACATATGGAACTCAAAACAACTTTCAACCAATATCAAAGTGAGAGTCTTCAATACGAATGGCAAGGCAGTCCTACTGTATGGAGCTGAAACTTGGAGAACTACAACAACCATCATCAAGAAGGTGCAAGTATTTATAAATAGCTGTCTACGCAGGATACTCAACATGCATTGACCGGATACCATCAGGAACAGCGTTTTGTGGGAGAGAACAAACCAGGTTCCAGCTGAAGAGGGAATTAGGAAAAGACGATGGAAATGGATAGGACATACATTACGCAAATCGTCAAACTGCATCACGAGACAAGCCCCAACTTGGAATGGTGAAGGAAGGCGGAAAAGAGGAAGGTCAAAGAGCACATTACGTCGGGAGATAGAAGCAGATATGAAAACGATGAATTACAACTGGACGGAGCTCGAAAGGATTGCCCAGGACAGGGTTGAATGGCGAATGCTGGTGAGTGGCCTATGTTCCTTCACGAGGAGTAACAGGCGTAAGTAAGTAAGTAAATGATATAAGATAACATTCCGCAGGGACCACGCCTGCATAGCCGAGCCGTGCCACTCGATCAACTCTAATTCATTCAATTCTTTCTTCCCGCCTTCTCCATCGTTAGGTACTTCTCCGCGTTAAATATTGGATATCTATTTTCCGAGTTGTCTGGTGTTCAGCTTTGAGGATTGTGTGGTTATGGTCCGATGCCACTACACATTATATTCGAGCTTTTACCTTGGTTTGTTCACTCGTCCGACCATGAACCTTCGATTTCGTTTCCGTTCTTTTTAAACAACAGTTTAACGGTCAAAAAACAACAATTTTATAAATTATGGGAAGGTACGGACAATACGAATAATGACAAAAACTAACTGCAATATAAGTTCTTGTTAACTATATTCACAGTCTTTTTTTGTTCCCTGACATTAGTAGGCCAAAATATGAAAAATTCGCAATTAAGTTTGACTCTATGATCAATGTAAGGAACAGTGATTCGACAGATTTGCAGCGTTACACACAGAACGTTTTCGTTTCAGCTTCATTTGGTCTTGAAGTGCAAGTCAGTCAAGTATTTATATATCAGCATTACCGGAGTCGGGAGATTTGTGTCCAACACTTAAAATTAATGATATGTGGACTTCATTGTTATGTGTTTTGCCTTACTCTGGGTCGAAATTAGATTTTTATTGTTTTTTTAGTTTCAGTTTGGAAAGGGCAGGAGGCTTAATGGCCTGTGGGTCGACGGATGAAGCCTCAACCACGTGCTGAGGTAATGAATTCCAATCGTTGATGATTCAGTGGGAAAGTCGATAGCCAGCTGACAAGTAATTTGTTCTGGGCTTGTGAACTGTTTTGGAGTGTCTTCGTAAATTCTCTGTTTTGGAAGACAAGAAAAATGAGGGCATATCAGGTGCAAATTTATCACTAAGCAGTTTGAAAACTGTAATCAAGTCGCCTTTAGTTTTACGATATGACAACGGGAGTGGATTTAGATTGACCAGTCGAGCATCATACGGGAGCTTTGCTTAGTCGCTGTTCTCTGAACCTTTCCCAAAAGCCCGCTTTCTTTTTAAGGCAGGATTTAACCGCTTGTATGCAGTACTCAAGTTTAGGACGTGCGAACACTGTATACAAAGTCAAAAACCTTTTAGCGTCGATATGACTAAAAGCCCTACCTATTGACCATAAAGTTTTAAAACCTTTGACGGCTATTGCACGGCAGTGTGCAGTAGTCTTTAGGTCTTGGCTAACGATGACTCCTAAGTCATTATATGTCAGGACGACAGGTGGCTCAGTGTTATTCATCGTGTATGTATCTGTACTCTGATGACTGATATGCGTCACAACACCCTTGGAAGTATTTATCGGCAACTGCCAGGTTTGAGACCATTCAGATAATTTCTTCAGATCATTCCGGAGTTCTAAGCTATCATCGTATCGTTCTCCATATCTTGACATTGTCAGCATGTAGCAAGACCGATGATGATAGGAGACGAGGAAAGTCATTTACATAGAAGAGGAATATCACTGACCCAAAAACCGTACCCTGGGGCACTCCACTAAGCGTAGTCCCCCAGCTAGATAACTTTGAGTTCACCCGTACTCTTTGTTGGCGCCCAACTAGGAAGTCTTTTATCCATATCAATAGATTGCCCCCGATTTCGACATTTCTTAGCTTATATAACAGCCGGTTGTGTGGAACTTTGTCAAAAGCTTTGCTGAAATCAATGTAGGCTACGTCTACAGGTAACTTTTGGTCCTTAAGAGCGCACCAGCTTTCACGAGCCACTAATAAGTTAGTGAGACAAGAATAACCTATTCTGAAGCCATGCTGCTTCTCCGAAAGGATCCGGTTTTCATCGGGGTACTTAATTATCTCCTTTGGAATAATCTTTTCTAAGATTTTAACAAGCAGACTAGTTAGGCTAACAGGTCAGTAATTCTCAGGTCTGTTTCGTACTTGTTTTGAAGACAGGACTTACTATGGCGATCTTCCAGTCTTTTGGTAAACGACTCTGGTTACGGATAGATTAAAGCATATACTTAAAGGGTTTGCAACGAAGTTATATAATTCCCTCAGTAGCCTAGGATGCAATTGGTCATGCCCCGTGGATTCACTTATGTCAAGCTTATTTAGCAGACCGAAGACATCGAGTTCTTTAATGGTCACGCTATCCAGTGTGTGTGGGGGAATTTGTATGCGCTGACGGGAAGGGTGCTTCTATGGTATATACGTTGCTAAAGTAGTTTGAGAGCACTTGAGTCTTACCAAAGTCGTCCTCTATTAATAATGCGGCAGTACTGTCTCCCCAGAGTGCAGGAATATTTCCTCTACATTTTGTCCTTGGTTTATATAGGAATACAAACATTTAGGACATTCTATGGATTCCTTAACAATTTTTTCTTCGTACAACTTTCTATACTTATGGAGGGTCGAGGCACAGGTATTCCGAGCTTTTCGATATTGAGATTTTGTCTCACCAGTCCCCAGTAACCTAAATCTATCCCACATTTTTCTTCTCTCACGGAGAAGGATGCGGGCCTTCCTACTGAACCATGGTGGAGAGTTTCTCGGCCCCCTCAGTACAGTCCAAGGGATGTGGGGTGTGTTAACTTTTAGGAATAAATTTTGAAATATGTCCCAAGCCGTTTCAATTGAGGACTCTGGGTCTATTGTCCAATCTACTAACGATGCTCATGCATGATATCTGGTATGTTTGCTTTCTAGAAGTTAGGTCTGGATTGAGCCAACGTGTGCTCGTGATTGACAGTTATATGGAAGTCAAAAGTTAAGACTGCGTGATCACTTTTACCTAGGGGTGCCATGTAATGGAGGTTCGCAACGTCATCCTCATAGTGAATCAATATAAGATCTAGTAAGGATGATTCAGAGTCCGGGTCGTACCTAGTCGCTTATTTCACATGTTGCATTAGGGCACATGTGATAACTGCATCAACCAGTTCCTGCTCGAAGTAATTTTCTGACGGTTCAGTTCGCAGATTTTCCCAGTCTACCATAAGTGCATTAGAGTCCCCTAGGATTAGACATCGACCACTTTGTGACCAAGTATTGAGACTGCTTAGCAGGACCTCATTTACCTCACAGCTTGGACTGCGATAGACCAAATCAATCAGCAGCTCTTGTCCCTTGCATTTCAAGAGGCAACTAACTAATTCACACTTCCAACTCTCATGGGATACACTGTCGATAATGGCAAATGAGATAGCATTCCTAATGAATAGAGCTACTCCCCCTCCTTTGCGCTTTTGTTTTCTGTCGGCCCTTACTGACGTAAAACCCTCTAAATCAAGTTCCATACTACCTGTAGACTGTGTCAGCCAGGTTTCTGTGACTGCGATTACGTCTGGCTTTGTAGAGTCAATCTGTAAACCTAGTTACGACCGCTTATTGAGTAAGCTTCGGTGACTAGTGTAACAGATCCGAAGCCTATTTAAGTGGCTTCATGCTTCACCCAGAGTGGCTTCGGCATCATTCTCAGTCAAAGCCTTACGACCCGAAAATTTACAATTTTCAGGTCCTTTTCGCCAGCGTCTAACGTAAGTTGTAGTTCTTTTTCGGCCTCCCATCTTTCTAAGCTGTATGCCAAGGGCAAGTCCTTACGGATAAAAACCCCTGAACCCTTTAATTTATGTCCACTCTGTAAGATTAAGTCGCGTTTATTCTAAGATTTGAATACTACTTTAAGCAGTCTGGATTGATTAGGCTTCAAGTTCGCTAGACTATTTGGTCTATACACTTTTACCAAGGTGACTTTAGAGATATTTTGAGGCATGAGTTGATTAAGTAGTTGTTTTATCAGCAAAATGTCATGCTTAAAACGAGTTTTTGGTTCAGAACTCTCACTCTCCTTGATTCTATGAAAAATAACTGATCTGTCACTGTGATCAGCCTTTTATATCACTACGTTGTTTCTTCCTTACAACCTGTACACATTCATCAACGTTGATAGGAGAGGCAACCACAGTCGCGCCAAACATACTGCGGGATTCCGCAGGGTTGCCGACGGCCTGTGAAGTCAGGCCGTGCTTACTGCTAGGGGCCGATCGAGCATTGCGATTGCGGATTCTAGGCGTTTCATGCGGGATACCGTTTAGACGACGAGGGAAAGAAGAAACTTATTTTCTTTGAAGACTGTTTTTCCTCCTTCGTGGGTGTGAGTCACCTATTTTTGAACTCACCTGAGTTTGCTTCGCACCAATTGGCGTGTTGACAGAGCGAGTACTGTCCGATGTGTCCCGACTATGCTTGCTAAAACACTTTTTTTGTAGCATTTACCAATGAGATGGCCTCGGTTTGCAAGCTGTTTGCATCCAAACAGCACTGTTGACAAAGCCATACGCAACCGTTTTTGTTGGACCGTTTGAAAGCCAGAGGCGTTAAATTCGTGCAAACATCGTGGTACCAGCCTTTGCACTCATTGCACCGCATGCCGCTTTCAACGGGATAATGAAAGACCGCGTTGGTAATTGTTTTTTTGCACTGTCCGCGGGTCTTTCTTTAAAAAGAAGAACTGGATGCAATAATACTCAGAGACAAAATGATCGATGACCGAAAAAGTGGAAAACTGTAGATTGTTAGAACTAAAAATACTAACAGATACAATAGAAAACAAAGTACTCAAAAGTACCGACGACAAACTACTTTAGAAACAGAAACGATACACTAATCGAGTACTTTAACTGAAATAAATTCAATTGGAGTGGAAACAGTGGTCTTGATACGTCATAAACGATCAAAACAATGGAATTCACTCAGCGAGGAAAAATACTAATGTTCTTTTAATTAGCGCGAGTGATTTTCAGTTTTATCACCATATTACCGTAATTCTGTGACGTTTAACAAATTTTCCCAATTTTAATTTTACTTGGGGTTTTAGCTGAACTATTAAGTAATTGTTCTGTCATATCAGAGACTTGTTTGTACATGTCTCTGGGGATTTTTTGCTGGTTTTACGGTGATCCTACGTAATTGTCAGAATGTGTTTGTAAGCACTCGCTGTTTTGAATAATATCATGGTTAGTACCGCTTTTTGAATTCCTCGAATGAGATAATGACATGTTTAGCCAATGATGCAGTAGGAACCAGTGAAAAATTGAGACACAATAATCTGTTCGTAGCATCAGTGGTGTTGAAAAGGACAAGTACATGTACATTTTATTGGACACTACATCAGTACCGTAAAGCCATTGATAAATATGGACACCATGGTTATCGCCAAAGACTACAGTTAGATTGTACTCCAGCTCTTATACTTTACTGCCAGAAAAAAATGCGATGAAAACAGCAGTTATGAGATGTTTTAATTTAGTGTTTCGGTGTCTCTAGCCATCTGAGTTGTGGTCTACTAGCCGTTGTGAAGATACATTCAATGAAGAGTTTCCAGAAACAACAGTGACTATTTCCAGCTCTTTAGTGAGTGCGGTGGCGTCGGTCAATTGTAAGGTTATATCTGTCTTCGGCTGACATGTACTAATAATCCCTCATTTTAAAGGTCATCCATGTACTCCGGATTACTCCAGGAATAATCTCCTCGTAGACTTGACAGAAATAAGTGAAAAATTAAGACACTTGACCATTAGATATAGAATATAGCCAGCGTTTTTTGCTCTGAAGAATGAAAGAGTATATTTTGTTTTTATAGCTGAATATTAATTAACAAATTTTGGAGGCAATTTAAGTGACGTTAGCAACGCAATAAGAAACGACCTTTGGTTTGGAATTATTGTTCGGTTGATTGGTTCGATCTGTACTTTTATTTGAGCAGCTGTAGCTAGTCTGGAGCCAATTGAGCTAAGGACATACTTGCATTTCATCGGGGGATTTACCCCAACGTCAATTCCAGCCAACTGATAGAGTTGCCCGTTACAGTTAGTATGCCAATTCCTGTAAGTTCATAATTATTTTTAAAATGATCTGCACGCCATTTTATAAGATTTTTGAAGCAAAGTTAGTACGATGTTCGTCAGGGCTGTCCACTCTCTCCATTCTTGTTCAACTTTGTGGTCGACGTACTTTTAGAGATAACACTTTCCTCATCTAAATTTCCAGGGGTCGAACTTCTACCGGGAGGTTCACTTGTTGACTTAGAATATGCAGATGACATAGTTTTATTTGGTGAAGACGCTGACAAAATGCAGAGTCTTCTGACCACTCTAAGCAACAATGCAAGCATGTTCGGGATGCGATTCTCCCCCTCGAAATGCAAAATGTTGCTTCAGGATTGGGTTGCATTGACATCTCAAACTAGTGATAGGGAGTGAAGTAGTTGAGTGTGTCGACCGCTTCACTTATCTTGGAAGTCTCATCAGCCCTTGTGGTCTGGTGTGTGACGAAATCTCAGCACGGATACAGAAGGCTCGACTAGCTTTTACCAAATTGCGTCGTTTATGGCGTAGGCGAGATATCCGTCTATCAACCAAAGGACGTGTTTACTGCGCAGCAGTTCGTCCCGTCCTACTTTATGGCAGTGAAACATGGCCGGTAAGAGTAGAGGATATCCGTAGGTTACTAGTATTCGATCATAGGTGTCTTCGAAACATTGCCCGTATATCATGGGGCCATCGAGTAAGTAACACAGTTGTTAGGAAACGGGTACTAGGTAAGGATGGCAAATCAATTGAAGTAGTGAAACTTCATCAGTTGAGATGGCTTGGACACGTGTTACGTATGCCCAACGACCGACTGCCTCGACGTGCGGTGTCCAGTGGTATAGGAGTAGGTTGGAAGAAAGCTAGGGGCGGCCAAACCAAAACATGGCACAAGTCCATGAAGTCACTGACAATTGAACTGAGTCATGTTGGTAGGTGTAAACTACCTGGTTGGGGACCGCGAGATGATATCAACCGATGGTTAGAGACCCTGAATGACATGGCTCAAAGTCGTTTGCAATGGCGCAGGTGCATCCACTCTCTGTGTTCTCCCAAATTCTAATCATCTGAATCCTTCATGTCCCTTTTTTCCTCTTTCCAAATTTATTTCACTGGATTTACTCTTTAAATAACGTCTCCAAACCCTATTCTTCCCGATTACTGCTTATACTCTTATTACCTCTACCACTACGGGATTTGAATCGACAACTGCATCTCTGTGCTAATGTGGTGTGGCAACTCGAACTAATGTACGTACGTACGAAGTTCTACGTTGTTACTGACTGACTGACTAACAACAAGTGAATTAATTAATTTCGCGACAAAAGTCAAAATCTTTTGTGGTAAATCCGCATAGCAAGGCTTACGCACCCGTGGTTTTTTGGGGATGCGTGACCTTCAGCTAGGTGTGTCCAGTAAAACTTATGAGGTGAGCATCAATGTCAAAAACGTACAGAACTATTTAATTTAGGGATATGTTTACCGCTGCAGATGCTACTTGCAAGCGATACAGTGGCCTATGACAATGATGGTTAAAACAAAGAAATATTAGTAATCATTTTAGTGCCATAAGTAATGCCCACAAAATCTAAATGCTTCATGTTTTCAAGTTTCTGTATTTAAGGTCAATGGTTCCTTTACATAATATCAGATGGACATTAATGCCTATTTTGAACACTTGAGTCGCATACAAGATTGAACGAATCGAGCGAAGAAATTTCTTTTCAATCAATTTTTGATCACGACTCTACACTAATATATATATATATATATATATATATATATATATATATATATATATATATATATTTACAATAATGAAGTAATGCTCATCGAGTCGGCATGTTACGTAATAATTATATGATTACATATCGATTATAAATTAACATTGAGTAACTGGAATAAGGAGGATTAATAATGATCAAAATTATTGTTCAAAAACCAAGCAGTTGCTACGTTGCATAATATATAAGAAAGAGAAGGAACTAACAAAATATTTTTATGAATGTTCAATAATATGGTAGTTATGTAAGAATCAAGAGACTAATATTGTGAATAAGTAAAATATAAAAAGTAAAATAAATGCGAAAATAGTTTATCAAAGTTATGCTACAAACTCCCCTATACCGATGGCCAAGGTAGCGAGAGTGGTTGTACAAACTTCTTTTGGATGCAAGGGTTAGGTTTGTGAACATGGATTACGATGGCTTCAGCAATGTGCAAAAGATGCACTCGTGAACCATGTGGCAAACTTGATGGAATATGGTGGATAACCTTAAAAGCATCACTCAGTTCAACTTGATGACCTGTGTCCACCAAGTGAGCGAGAATAAAACTCTTAATCACTCTTACCTGTCCTTTGCTCAGCGACGACGGATGGTGTTCTGTTATACGATGACGGACTTACCGAATTTTACACCCTATATAATTGGCTCCACAGGAGCAGCTGAATCGATAAGTGAACGCGTATGTGGCGAACCCGGGCAATCTGTCTTTGTTAGCGGTTCTTATTATGGGGTGGTTGTAGAAGATGGCACTCAGTCTGACTGCATTAAATGTTCTCTTTTTTCGGCGAATTCACTTTCAAAGCTGTACAGTTGCAAATATTTATACTTATTTTACAGGATGATAATAGTGCTAATAATAAACTTCTGTTGTACAGCTTTGAAAATGAATTCGCCGAAAAGAGAAATCTTTGCTGAACTAATCTTTATTATTTAATATTATACATCTGTTTTAATTGGTAAATATAACAAATAGTGATTTATAAAGTATACTTGAAATAGAAAAGGAACTAAGTGTTTATATTTTTCTTTTTTCTGCTATTCAAATAGCAAAATAAGATTTCTTATTCTTCTGATTTATTATCCAAAATTCAATTAACTTTTACATAGAAGTAACACTTAGAAACGTTGTACTAGTATGGTTTGATCAAGTTTAGTTCTGATAATCAAGAATGAGACAATATAAACCATTAAATTTAGTTGTAAATATCATACCTGTTGTTGGTTATCGTGATATTTAAAACGATTGGCTCTTACTCTCAATATCATCTTGAACATTGAAATTAAAATTCAAGTGCATATGTTTGAGAATTTTTGAATATAAATGAATTCATCTTTCGGTTTTCACATTCAACTGTCATCTAAAATGTCATCTTTACATATTAATAGTGATGATAGGACATGTTTTGTAATCTAATTTTATTTGTATTAAGAACCCTGTACTGTGTAAGCAACAAGATATATACTACACAAAATTACTTAGTAATGTAACTAATTCTCACAAACTTACAAAATGCATAACCAATTATTTAAGGCCAAACCGTCTTAAGTTATCTGTTCATAGTTTGGAAGATACCTTTCAATATACTCATAGGCTAGAAAATTTTGATAAATTTGTGGTTCTGTTTGATATATTTTATTAACTTACCACAATGCCACTGGAATAAACCTTACAAATTATATGTCGATATTTAATGACACAATGGTGTACGTCAGGTATGTTGATGATACATTGATTACCTGTAATGATCATCAAGATGTTTCTCATGGGCTAGAATTTTCTAGTAGGGAACACTCCAATATTAAGTTTGTAACGGAACATCAATGAAACGTTTTATTTTCTGAATCTTGGTATGAATCACAATTCAAATAGCCTACTGGAAAGATATGTTTATCTAAATAAAATGTGGAGCGGGTTATTGTGGTGTTTGAATGAACTAATGATTCCTTTGTACTTGTTGAATGCTTGATTTCGAATTCTAAATACAGTACATTCGTTTGTGTTTATCTAGTACTTCTCGATCCGGTTACGTTATTTCTGGGATTCTTAGTTCATACTATAATTCAAATACTCCTAATCATCATAGTTATGCTTCAACTTCAGTAGCTTCTGTTCAATAATCTATAAAAGAACTTTATTCAGAGCTGTTTCAACCGCATACATAGATTGCGTTCAGAGAATAGGAACGCGAATTAATTATTTAGAATGAATGTTGTTAGTATGATAATGGTAATCTGTAAAAATTCATAGCTCGTTATAGAAAGACTACAAAAATGGAAATGGCAGTTGCTACAGTTGAGGAAAAGCCTGTCCATAAAACTTGGTTACAAAGGTGATGAGGCAGCTAGAAAAATTGATTCGAATTAAAGAAAATACAAAAAAGAATTTACCCAGTGGGTAAGATGGTCCCTCTATACCAGAAAAAAGGCACATTCGGAAAGATGGGTGTAGACGAATTCCCTCCTTATTTTATATCCAGCTGTCTAATAGGTTACGTTCGTACCAAAACACATGTATTGGAAGAACAGAATGGAGATGCAGTGTACACATCTTCTAGCACTTTACACAAAATGTAATACTAAAAGGGAGGCAGTTTTTCAGCAGTGCGATTGGTAGTTATTTGTCCGATAGTAGAGATGATGTTGGGGTTTCAAAAATTTTCAAGATAATAAAAAAGGCATTTCGAATTTATTGAACTTTGCCGAGTTTGTTGCAATAAAAAGTTTAAACAAAGTTTATGAATCCAACAAGATAGCTATCAATCTCGTTTTTCCTTGATGACCTCGTTTTCATGAAATTGTTACACAACACTTTTTCTATGATCTTAATTGTAATTTATGGTTTTTCAGTTTTGCTTTTTAGGTGTGCTCAGCTAGTTTATGTATTTTATTTTAGGTATTTCATGGTCGATGACATAAATCTTAGATTTGTAAAACAAATTCTGTCCATATCCTTTTCTCAGTTTATCCTTCTAGAATATTACATATTTAAGCTGTAAATAGGCAAAGGTTTAGACAATTTCTAATCCTTCCGTTATTATTTTCTCACATTACTCTATATCTACATATCTAACTCATAAAGTATCCATACATGTTTCGTTTCTAATGGTTAATACTACTGTTCATAGGTTGTAAACAGGTAATGAGTATGGGTGAAATAGATGGGTTCATATTACTCTGCTACGATGGTTATGCATTCTTAATTCAAAGATAAGAAACATCCATTACTTATAAGCTATATCATTCAGTTTTTTTATTTAGATTGACTAGAATTCTTTTACTCTTAAGACCACAAGTAGATAAATATTACTATTTAAATATCGTTATCATTAAAAACCACTGGCACGCTAGTTATATTTCAAACTTCTCCATCAATAAAAATAACTTACATTTATTTTTGTAATGAAGAAAATACATAGCTTTTCATTTATTCATTATAACCTTGCTTAGTAATTTATATTAATTTATTTACAGTTGGATGTATTTCAAGTCCCAGATGATGTTGCCGAAGCTGAATTAACCAGTCGTAAAGGTTCAACAGTTTTTCAAAATTTCATATATGATTTACCAATACCATTCTCATTATTACTACTTCTATGCGGTTTTGGTTATTTGTTAATTATCGGTATAATTTATGCAATTGTAAAATCCATATTAGCGAACCGTACGCCAAATGTCAAACCGTCTGTTAGTCAGCTTCAACCTTTTGCTTGTTGTCCATGTTGTTTATCAGTTGCTGATTTATGCAACTGTTGTAGAGTAACTTCCATTGATGCCTGCCTTAATGGTATTTGCCCCCAGCGTAAAGTAAGTTCACACAATAAACATAAATAGTGATTGTATGTGTCTGATTCCTTTATTGTATTGGAGATGCTAGTTTTACCATATTTTTTTCTGAACAACCGATGACCAGCCTACACTGTCGACTGTCTAATTTATGATTTGTTCAAAGCCTTTTAAACATTACTGTGTAAGAAGATTGAAATCTGATTAAAATCCTTTAATAAGCTGTCTAATTGTTTAAATTATTTAAGGTTAATTTGTTCCTTTTAATTTATTGATAACATGGGACAACAGAACTATCTAATCTTAATCCTACGCTTTAATAATTTTCCTAAGACTATTATCAAAAACAACAATTTTAATGAAAGATCTTGGATTGTCACTGTAGTTTTACCTCTCCGCCAGGGTACGACAGAGGAATTAAAACGGATCTTGAAACTTACAAAGTCAAAGCTTTCTATGTGACAACTAACGCCCTAAGAAACACTTTAGTTAGAACAAAAGATAAGATCCCATTTACTTCTAGACAAAATTGTGTCTACAGATTAGGTTGTGTCGATTGTGATATGTTATATATTGGACAGTCTTCCCGTGAGATCTCGACTCGTACCCAGAAACACGTAAGCTACATAAAATTACCTCCTAATAATCCTGTAGAATTGGAAAATCTATGATTTTAATCAGCAATAGCAGCACATGTTATTTTAAATAATCACCAAATTGGTATTAGAAATATCAAAATAATTCAAAAGATTTTCCCAACTATAAAGAGGAGCGAATAGCCGAAGCGGTTCATATAATGCTAAATCCTTCTTCTCACAGTAGGAAAGCAGGCCTGACTATTCATCCGACATGGACTGTTTGTCCAAACAACCACATTTGACCGTATACACTTTCCAAACAATCTACACACTTATACACACACACACTCAACTTCAGCCTCACTACTTCACATTACAAATGTATACATTATTCACACCCACCTTTTTGCTCACAAATTAATACAGTGATATGTCATCCAAAATCACCTTGATCAGAATAACTTGGCATTAACATTTTCAAGCCTGTTATGATTTTGATTTTACTAACAGTATTGTTTCCTTTATACTGTTTAAACTTGTGTTAATTTTATTTCGGTAATTTATTTACTTACAAGAAGTGACTTACATTAAGTCACTAAACATCAGAAGAACAATTTCCTATTCATTGGGATATCACAAAACGTATTTATTATTTACTTTAAAGAATGTTTTTATGAAATAGTTTAATTTATTAATTCAACTTTTGTAGATTAATTTGAATATAATGCATTAATGAACTAAGTTTTATTTTATTTAGTCAAGATAATTTGGTAATGCAAATTCTCATTCATGTATATTCAATTGTCGCATTAGATATGGTTTTATGTGTTATTTCACTAGGACTGTTTATGTATACTATTTTGCTGTGTATATATTTTGAACGATAACATGTATAAAACGTCATATATCTAAAATATCCCTCAGGTTGTGAAACTTTCAGGTTTACCAGTCTGAAATGTTCTGAATCAAAGTGGCTTTTTAGATCACTATATGCTAGAAACCATTACGTTTGTGCTCTCAGTTTACTCCAGTTAGATATAGTTCTCCATTCACTTCCATATATAATGACTCGGATAACTATTATGCAATTGTGGCATTAAAGACCAAATTTGAACCGTGCTGGAAGAATGCGTTTCAAGTATTCAAGGATGAGCAGATAACCGTTCAAGATAATGAAAATGTCCAGATCGTTTACTTTTTTACTTGATTTGGTTATATATATGAAAAGCGAGTAATGGATAAAATATACGGACACACAGAAAAGAAAATATAGATAGAGGGAAAACCATAATAAGATGATCCTTGAGTAAGTGTTAATTATTGACTGTACGAGAATCTGTACAATGTTGTTTAAGGAGTCAACAAGGTCAAGTATGTGAATATCAACAAAATACTCAATAAGCTTAGGACAACTCGTCGGTCACATGATTTGTCTAGCTTCACACTTCTTACGTAGGTAGATGAATGATCTGAATTACTACACTTTTGTATAAATTCCTCAGCTTAACCTCAATGATTTTTCAATATACAAGTCAAAAATCGTTTCTTTTTTTGAAAACATGAATCAAGTGTTATGTGTGATGATAAATTTCCTTTTTCACTGTTCAATATGCCATACCTAGAATTTTTGAGCGTTTTCCCGTTGATCTGTTGTTTCAGTGCCACAAATAAGTGCTAATTTCACTGAGAACTACATTTTTATCATCCAAATCTATCTACATATCGCTATAGGATTGTGAAGATTGTTGAGTTTTAGTTGAGATCATAAAGCGATCAATGTTAGACCACGATCGAGCGCCTGGAAGCACTGAAAGCCCGTTTCGTTCCAACATGGGACTCATTAGCAGTGCAAACCCACGATTCCTCACGCAAGACTAGAACGCAGGACCTTCAGTCTCGTGCTCATTAGTGACCAGCTTTGAGAAGTAATTCTCAGAGCACTAGTGAGAAGCCTTGGCTATTGAAGTTCGACCGTGTCGGGATTGAGGCAGTTACACATACAAGACAATGGGAGATGGTGGCACAGTATTATGGAATGGTTAAAGTTATCGAATTCATTGAGTTTGTGATCTGTTATTTCATTTAAATGAGAGTACTATTAGTTAAAACTAGGGTACATAGTCACAATCTGACTTAAAATTTAAACGTTTTTTTAATGTCGACTGTTATTTTTGATTTAAACTAGAAGTTTAACGATTTTAAATGATAAGACTGTGTCTATATTTTCTTACAAAATTCATTTAGTTATGGTTTGTATGAATCAACATATATTTTAAATAAATTTATAAGAACTATTATGGTGAGACTATAATTTATGGTCGACTTTTGAGCGACGCTAAAGTGACCTGATAACTAGGACCAAATGAGGGTTATAAAGCAGTGTAAGAAATCAGAATTATGATTTACAGTTGATGGCAGGTGAGGGCAATTAGATTCAGGGTTTTCATCACGAACTGACATCAGCTAAAATGCCAAAACGATACTTAGCCAAATGGATAAATGAATTTCGCTCCTAAATCCATGACCTGTTATCTTATATGTAACTGGTTCGTCCATAAATTATAGTATCATCGTCATCAATTGTTTGAAGAATCAAGTTTTTAAATTCTTGACGTGTGAAAAAAATAATAGATGAAAAAATATGCATTTCCGGTCATCTCATCAGTAACTTATGTATAAATTGTTTTTTAGACTCATGATTTTACGGACTTATTACTATGTCAAATATGTCTTGGACGGCCTGGTCGGATGAAATCGACTGTACCAGTAAGTGAAGTGTTTTATGTTTGAGTGAAGTATTTGTATATGTTCAAAGCTATTCTAATAGTGTGATGTAGTTTAGTGAATACAGTTAACTGTCAGTTCAACTAGTAATATTGTACTTCTAACATGCTTTTCTGTATTTTACTGAACGTAGAGCAATGAAAGCATGAGGGGAATGTAGAAAATATGTTAACAGATAGAAAGAATTTCATACAACTAGATTCTTCGATAAATTTAAAAAGAGCAAGAACAACAGGGTTTGGTGAATAAAATGGATTCATTCTATTTCATGGTTTCTCATCACCTTCATACGACCTAAAATTAAAATTATTGGTATAATTATAATAATTAACAAATGTTTCGCATACTTTCAGCTGAAGGTTTCTAGGAATGTGTTCAGAAAGTCTTATGGAGGCTGTTCTCGCGGAAAGGTAAGGCGTTTGCAAAAGCGATTGTCAGACATCTTTTAAACAATGGATATAAAGTATATGTAAATAATGCTTTCAAAAGTAATCAACTGCGAAAGAAAATATCAATCTTACTCCGTTTGGCAGAGGCAATCGTTATCAAACGTCTCTTATCCGGCCCATGTATACAGAAGAAAAAGTGTGGTTAGCCTTTCTCTGGCATGGTGATCGGGGGTTCACCTAATAATATTTATTAATTTCAACTTTTAGTCTTTTTACAATCCTGTCCTCAATATTTACCTTGTTCTTATTTCGTCTTCTGATATTCACCTCTTACCTTATCTGATTGACCTTCACATATTTTCTGATTGACATCATGAGTCGATCAGTGTTAGACTACCATTGAGCATCTGGAGGCACTGGACGGCCGTTTCGTTCTAGTATGAAACCTCTCAGCAGTGCGCATCCACGATCCTGCACACGAGATTAGAACCCAGGACCCTCAGTCACGCACGCATCTAACTTCAAACAATACAACACATATTTGTATATTTTATCATGTTTAGCGATTACCTGATCACTCATTAATCTCATACTTTTACATAACTTCTGAATTATTGCTTCCCAACATAAACATACCTCGATCTTAACTATATCTGTTCACATAACTTGTATTTCCATTTTTATCACTGTTGTTATGATTTTGGTTACGTTTAATAAATGTATGCCAAACATCTGTTAAGAACTATGTTAATAATCGTAATTTTAATTTTTAGGTGATGAGAAACTGAAACAAAATTAATTCACTTTGTTCTTCAAACGCTGTTGTTCTTGTTCTGTTTAGACAGAAAGAACTCTATAAGATTACTCATTTCATGGATCAATCTTGATACTTCGAGTAAAAGACGGGGAGTAATCATGATATATGTATGCTTATGGTAGTTCACATGGAGTCTTGCAGTACCTTCTGGTATGCTACATACGTTCAAACTTATGAACTGATTACATGTACTTTCTTACTAAAAATATGGTTACCATATATGGCTATTAGTTAGAATTTCATAAAGAAATCGCTAGTTGACCCATCAATAGGGTACGCTATGAACATAAATAAAACGAAGAATATTCAGTGATAAATATACTAGCTAATGAAGCCTGCGTCAGCTGATCTAATAAAATTCCACAAATTTTGTCGTCATATAGTATTTGTGAACTGTATGCAAGGAATAGAAGTGATATTAAATTTTTAAATGTAAAAAAATGACCGTTAAATCATATTTTATTAATAGATGGGAAATATTCATTGTAATAAACTTTATTCGCTGATGGAGTTAAGAAGGTAGTTGTTTTATAATATCTATATATATCTTAAGCTGTTAATACATAAATTAAATTAAGTGATTATTCATTTTCTTTTTATATTCAGCTTGTCAAATGTCCTGTATGTTGTCAATCAGCCTATTGTGAAGACACCGTATATGTTGCTTCTTATGCAATTTCCGATCGAAAGCTTTACTTCAGGAGGAATAGAATAAATACTTTGGTTCTTTATAATGGTACTATATATGTACTTCTACTGGGAAACAAATAAATTCACAAATGGATCTTTATTTTATTTTTTGGTAAAAAGATTTCATAGAGAGAATTTTTTTATGATGATCATTTACTTCAGTTGTACAGCTGTTCTTATATTTCTTTAACATTTATAGTAGTGTATTAGAACACAATATAGGATCGCGTTATCAGACTGTTTGGAGATATCGAATATTAAAAGTAGGGTGTATTGTAATCCAAAGGTTAATGAAAAATAATAAGATGAAGATAGTTCACAAATAAAAGATAATTATACGGTTGGAAAATATAAAAATGACAAAGAAAATAGAAATAAAATGCAATAACAGGTAATTGGTAATCAGGCAAACTATAAGAGAACAATAACAATTGATCATTTAATATGGAAGCAGAAAGGGGTTTAAGAACACAGTAAGATCGGAGATGAGCTATGCACTTATATACACAGAGTTTGAACTTGAACAAGTGATGCATGCGTTCTTAATTTGTATTCCTATCGATCTATCTGCCTGACCACGTGGATGACTTTGAAAGATAATCCTGGGAATGCAGTACGGATTTTCGATGTTCTATAATAGAGGTGTTGATTGATAAAAGATGAGGCATAGCGAGATATTCACCAAATTTCTACCATTAGTAATCAGTAATCTTTTGAAAAAAGCATACTATTGTAAATCGCGAGTTGGTTACTCTAAATTCTACCGATTGACAAGCTTCAGATATCCGAGTTCGACCCCAATACTGTTCCCAATCTCCAATATATCAGAACACGAACCGTAGATGAAAAATCGTTTATGGGGTCAGGAGCAGCAGAATAATGATTTACAAACAAATGCATATTTATACAGTTAGGATTACTATAAATATTGACCAACAGAAAGATGACACGTTAAATAATATTGACCAATAGGAAAATGACACGCGAAATAAATATTGATCAGTAGGGAAACGACCAATAGGGAAATGACACCATTTAACGTTCAAGGGTAGCGTTAGACTTAACCGGATAATTGTTTTTGGGATATTTTTCTGAGTATCCCAACACCTCCCCTTTGGAGAAGTTAATAGCGACGTAACCGAGGGTTTACTTGAAGTTTCTTTGGGTGTCTTCTTTTGCGATCCGACCTCCGAGGCAACCACACAGAACCAGAAGGATGTTCTACTTGAGTAGATGACTTAGTCGTCTCTGTTGGAGGTATTGGCGGAAGTTGAAACGTGTCCAACAGCAAGTCGAGTGGGACGTGTTTTGTAATTGCTTCTTTCTCCTTCGCTTCCCTTGACCTGAGTTGATTGTGGTGCCTGGTCCAGATTTCTTGGTTCACCTTGACATCATACATGACGTTCCCATGTTTTTGTGTGATTTCACCCTCTACCCATCTATCGCATCCGTGTCTATAATCTCGCGCATACACTTTTGTACCAACTTCGTAGGGAATTCGAGTATTCTTCATCTGGGGGCTTTGCTGGGCCACTTGCTTGGGTTTCATCGCACATGAACTGTCCGTAGCTTTCGCCCCATAAGCATCTCAGCAGGGGATTTGGAGTTTGGCAATAAGTCATGCGGGGTCGTCCGGTACGCAACTAGGAAACGTTCTATGATATCTTCTGTGGTCCCCTCCCCTCGTGCTTTAAGCATGGCTCGTTTAAATGTATCAACGAACCTTTCAGCTTGTCCATTAGATTGCGGGTGATATGGCGGAGAACGAACATGGTTGATCGAATTTTGCAGGCAAAATTCTCGGAATTGGCTAGATGTGAATTGTGAACCATTGTCTGTTACTATTGTTTCTGGAAGACCATGCTGAGCGAAGATCTGATTAAGGAGTTTGATGGTTCGAGTTGTAGAGGGTGGCGCAATCGGCAATATCTCCGGCCATTTGGAGTAGGAGTCAACCAGTATCAGGTATGTGGTACCATCTAGGGGTCCGGTGAAGTCAATATGCACTCGCGACCAGGGTTTTTCTGACTTTGGCCAGGGTACTGGAGGCAACTTAGGAGGATTTTTCGCAGCTTTTTGACAATGTGAACATCTTTTGACGAAGTCGACAATCTGCTTGTCCATATTCGGCCAATATGCATGGCTGCGAGCGATGGATTTCATACGGTTTATCCCTGGGTGTCCAGAGTGGAATTGGCGTAGGACTTTGGAACGTAGGGTTGTTGGAATTACTACGCGATCACCGAACATCAGACAATCGTTAACAATACAGAGAGCGCTGCGACGATTCGCTAGTTGTTGCATATCACCACTCAGCTGCTTAACTGGCCATCTGCTCTGAACATAGGTGATCGCTTCTTGGATAATCGGGTCTTCTCTGGTAGCTTCCCGAACATCTTCAGCGGTAACAGGCATTGCTCGAACGGCATTCGCTAATAGTGTAGCACCGGAATCCTCTTCGGTTGATACTATGGCTATGAGTGTGTCCTCATCAGTGGTAGAATGGTTACTGATAAGTCTGGACAGTGCATCTGCTTGACCAAAATCTTCGGAACGTCGATACTGGATGTCGAAGTCGTACCCCAATAACGCCAACGCCCAACGTTGAAGACGATTAGCAGAATGGGCAGGAATGCCTTTCTTTGATCCAAAGATTGATAACAACGGCTTGTGGTCTGTGAGCAAGGTGAAACGGCGCCCGTAAATGAATTTGTGGAATCGCCGGACAGCAAAAATTAGGGCTAACGCTTCCTTCTCTATCTGGCCGTAGCGTTTCTCAGCAGGTGTTAGTGTTCTCGAAGCGTGCATCACCGCTTTCTCTGACCCGTCGGGAAAGACATGTGAGAGTACGGCACCCAGTCCATGTGTTGAAGCGTCAGCAGCAACCACAATGGGTAGTTTCGGATTGTAGTGGGTTAGCAGAAGATTGGAACTTAGCATGGCTTTAAGTTTTGAAAAGGCTGACTCACATTGCGTTGACCAATTCCAAGTAGCATTCTTTTCTAACAGACGATTTAATGGATATCGTACGTCATGCAGTGATGGAAGAAATGCTGAATAGTAGCTAATCATTCCCAAAAATGATCGCAGTGAGGAGACATCAGTGGGAGCAGGCATTTGTTGGATTGCGTAAGTATTTTGAGGATCAGGGTGTCGTCCGGAAGCATCAAAGATAAACCCCAGGTACTTAACGAAACGTAAGAAGAATTGGCATTTTTCTGGGCGAAGGCGAAAACCATTATCCTGGAGGCGTTGCAGAACTAAGTGGGTTCTGGTATGCAATTCATCAGCAGTTGAGCCGACAATGAGCACATCGTCAAGGTATGTAGCAACACCAGGAACATCTGCCAGAATAGTGTCCATGATCTGCTGGAAGATCGCTGGAGCAGTTTTGATACCAAAGGGTAACCGGGTATACTGAAAAAGTCCTCGGTGAGTGTTGATTGTCAACAACTCTCTGGATTCGAGAGCGACTGGAATTTGAAGGTAAGCATCTGCCAGATCCAGCTTAGCAAAATAGGTACCACCATTTAAAATAGTAAATAAGTCATCTGGGATCGGCAGCGGATAGTGATGCTGCTGTAGAGCCGCGTTGAGTCCTGTGGAAAAGTCTGCACAGATGCGTATGGAACCATTGGATTTTTTTACAACCACAATTGGAGCAGCCCATGATGAATAAGAAACAGGTACTAGGACACCCTCAGTTTCCAAACGTTGAAGTTCAGCGTCAACCAGAGGTAAAGATGCGTATGGGACTGGACGCTTTGGGCGAAAAACTGGCGTAGCTTCTGACTGCAGTTTTAAAACAGCTTCAGTTGTGGTACAAAGTCCGAGACCAGGCTTAAATAGTTCAATAAATCGTTTTCGAAGGTCTTCAGCATGCTGTTGTGTAGAAGCAGTAGTTTGGACTTGATTGCAGATAGCGCTAATAGGAAGATCAGCGAGACCAAGTTCTTCGAACCAATCTAAACCTAAAAGGTTGAGCGGAGAATTGGTGATGTAGCATGTCCCATTGAAGGTTGTACCTCTGAATGAAATGCAGCAATAGAGTTCACCATGAAGGCGGAGATGACCCCCACAGGCACTGACGGCTGTCTGAGAGGATGGTTTGATGGGAGGTTGACCCAAGGTTCGCCAAGTCTTTTTCGACAGAATGGTGATATCTGATGCAGTGTCCAACTGCAAACGAACTGGCTGACCATTGATTGAGAGGGTCAGAAATTTGCGTCGAGTCGCGGCATGAGTATGGAATACTGCTGCTAAACTCCTTGATGAGGTAATCGGCTTTTTGTGAAAACGACGCTGCGTCTGTGCATTTCGACGGTTATTGAACCGGTTGGATTTGCAAAAGCCGCTTTTGTGACCAACTTTCTGACAGCGATCGCACACATGCTGTTTGAATGGACAGAACTTCACATAATGCCAGGCTCCACAGTGCCAACATGGCGAGGGGGGCTTCTTCTGAGCCGGTTTAGAGTGATTAGAGATAGAAACAGCGCTGGCGTTCGAAGGACTCGAGTTTGTCGATCTCGAAGATTTTTTCTGGTGCTGAACAGCATGAACTTCGGAACCACCCTGGCCCCCAGATTGGACCAAAGTGGTGTCACGCTGCAGATTGATGATACGCTGGTATTCGTCTATGATCGCATTAAGTGTCAGTGTTGGATCTTGTTCAAGGCGGTTAAGCAACCGAGTTCTGATGTCGGAGAATTTGGGTGACTGAAGACTGCATATGAGTATTAGGGACTTGAATTGGTCTTCAGTGAGGGATCTGAGCTTGAACCGTTCGCACTCACGGTTAACAACGCCGACGTGGGTCAGGAAGTCATCGGACTCATTCATGACCAGTTTTAAGCAGCGATATCGGGTACTGAAGAGTGAGTGATGATCACCAAAAAGTTGGCTAAGGGACTGAATAGTGGCGTCGAATGAACGGTCGCGTGGGTTCTGCGGTAGAATGAAGTTGCAATACTTATCCAGCTCGGATGGACCAAGTTTACGAAGAAGAAGACGCACCTTCCACGAATCATCTCTGTCAGCAAAGTCAACTTTGAAAAGGTCTTCATAACGTCTGAACCAGGTATCAAATGTAATGTTGGC